GGAAAACTCAAAATGCTGTGGCTCTTCTACTTAAATGACTCATTCTATATACTGTCCCAAGGAGATGCTGTCCTTCATTTTGCCTTTTGTAAAAAATAAACTTTTGATTTTAGAATAGACTTATAGAAAACTTGCAGACCATAGAGAGTTTCTATATACTTCTTACCTGGTTTCCTCTATTTTTAATATCTTACCTGTGGTACATTTGTCCCACCTAAGGAACCCACAATAGTACATTGCTATTAACAACTTCATTTTTATTTTACTGTTTTTTTTCCTAATTTCCTTATTCTGTGTTAAGATCCCATTCAGCATGCCACATTATATGAAGTAGTCCTGTGTCCTTAGCCTCCTATGGTTACGGTAGTGTCTCAGATTGTCCTTGCTTTTCATGACCTTGATAGTTTTGAGGAGTACTATTCGGGCATTTTGTAGAATTTCCCTTAATTTGTAGTCGACTAATGTTTGGGGGAGGAAGACTGCAGAGTTGAAGTGACCTCATCATCACATTCTATCAAAGGCACGTGCTATCCACATGACCTATCACTGATGATATTAGCCTTGTTCACATGGTCAAAGTACTGTTCACCAGCTTTCTCCATTTGTAAGGTGACTAGCTACCCCCATCCCATCTTCCATATAAGACTCCTTGGAGAAGAGTTTCTAAGTTCAGCTCTCACTTGGTAGTTGAGAAAGTGACAGTGGAGGGAGTGTTGCACTGCTTTTGATTCATTCATTCAACAAATATTTTTGAGCCCTAACTATATGCCTGACACTTCCCTGAGCCTTGAAGACAAGCTGATGACCACAACCTTGTTCCTTGTCTTTTGGGTCTTTCATCTAGAGGAGACACACTTCCAAAAAGCAAAGAGAAGCTAACATCCTTTAAGTGGTGTGAAGAAAACAAACTAGGGAAAGGAAGGTGAGACATGGGGTCTGGGCAGCAAGAGGAACCTGCCTTACATATGGTGGTTAAGAAGGTCATTTATCGATGGAGCCATTTGAGCTGATCCCTGAATAACAAGGAGCAATTATCCATTCACAGAATGAGGGGAAATGCGCTCTGGGCAGAGGGAACAACTCAAGCACAGATGCTGACATGGGAAGGAGTGTTGGGTGTTTTAGGAGGGGCAGCAGAGCAGCGTGGCTGGAGAAGAGGAAGTCCTGTGGATAAAAGCTGTGACAGAAATTAGAGAGCATGTGGGGCCTTCACTCTTTTTCGTCTTCACTCTTGGTTTTAAAGAAGAAAAAAAGCTCAAGATATTTAAAAATCTGATTCCTTTGTAGATTAAAATTGTTATGACTTCTTTTGATTTGTTTTCTCATTCTAAATTCACTTTCTTTTTAAAAATTTTTATTTATTGATTTTAGAGAGGGGGGAGAGAGAGACGAGAGAGAGAGAGATCAATTTATTTTTTCACTTATTTACTTACCATTCATTGGTTGCTTCTTGTATGTACCCTGAGTGGGGATCGAACCTACAACCTTGGCATGTTGGAACAATGCTCTAACCAACTGAACTACCCGACCAGGGCTTCTAAATTCACTTTTGTACCCAACTTTTTACTCATAATTTTATATTCTTTGTCAAAATAAGAACTCCAAAACTGTATGATCTTCAGGCCTAAAAAATAGTCCGTCTTTGCTCATAATTACAATGATCAATTCAGCTTAATTGTGATAAACTATTTATACATCTGTGGCATAAATTAAATTCAGGAGTTTTGAGACTTGAAAGATGTAAGCATGCATGGATGCTTATATATTACCTTACCAGGTAATTGACCCTAAAATAAGAATTTAAACACACTGAATCCCGTGTGACCAGTAAGCTTTGTGACCAGTTCTTATTCTTGAAAAATATAGACTAAGAGGCTGATAATTATGTAATTACTCAAATTGTCAAAAGAAGTGACAAATTAAAAGAGACCTGCTGAAATAAGTTTATATATCATAAGTATAGAACAAGCATGGATGCATTCTTTCTAGTAAACTACTAAAGGCAGTCACCTTAATCCATCAAGAGAGGGATCGCAGGGCTAATTCACTGTAGGAAGGAATAAATGGAAAGCAGGTAATAGTCCCTTCATATTAAATTGAAGGCAGTTAGGTAGCTCCTGTAATAAAGTAGTCTGCTATGTTAATATGTTGATATGTTTTATATTTCTACTTTCTAATTTTCTTGAGCTTCCTATCTCTTTCTTTTATATATCATTTAAGTATCACTCTCTCAGCTTTATTAGTGTACCCTAAGGCAGCTTTGAAAAATGATGTCCTCAGAAATGTCCATTAGAAATGAGAATTTCAGCCCCTTCACTAGCTGAGCAGATAAGAGCCTACAGGTGTGTTATATCATTACCTTCCAACCAAGTGGAATTACAGCATAGATTTGTCTTTTAATTGTTCTAAATATCATATTATGGAGATGATATAGACTAAGCCCAAGTAGTGGTAAAATAATTTCTGGAAGGAGTCCTGACAGTGTAATGGTTACATCACCAGCCAGCTTAGCAGGATAGACAGCAGGAGAGGCTTGCCTTCTACTGAGGGTCTTCCTACTCAGAGTTGGAGCTTATGGTGGGAAAGACCAAGGCCAAAAGGTGGAGAATAGCGGGTAGGTTCTGAATATTTAAAAAAGGAAGGTGTAGGTAGCTATTTAAGATCCAAGATAGTTTTTGTTATCTCAAATACAAAGGCAATAAAAATGTAGGTTAGTAGTCTTAGAAATGAATTCATCAATTAAAAATTTTTGAAGTGACCAAGTTGAAATCCTACACCTAACTGGACATCTAAAACCCAATATTTATACAAATAAAATTGCATTTTAATGTGTTAATAAAATGATTTTGATTTCTATTTTGTCTCTCAAATCTTAAATGAAAAAGGTTAAAACCCATCTGCCTAGAGCAGCCGTGGGCAAACTACGGCCAGCGGGCCGGATCCGGCCAGTTTGAAATGAATAAAACTAAAAAAAAAAAAAAAAAAAAGACCGTACCCTTTTATGTAATGATGTTTACTTTGAATTTATATTAGTTCACACAAACACTCCATCCATGCTTTTGTTCCGGCCCTCCGGTCCAGTTTAAGAACCCATTGTGGCCCTCGAGTCAAAAAGTTTGCCCACCCCTGGCTTAGAGCATTGATTTCTGAAATTAACCCTTTACTTCTTGCATTATTTTTTTATATAAAGTAGCATTTGTTTTTATCATTTTGACTTTGCATATTGTTGGTGTTTAATTTAGATAGAAAGTATGTGGTATAATAGAGAAGAGATTTCTGTAAATTACTTCTTTAATTCAAAACACTGCTTGTATACACTTGTGATAGCAACTGGAGCAGCTATAGAGAAGTCTTTAACCTCTAGAGCAGTGGTTCTCAACCTTCCTAATGCCGCGACCCTTTAATACAGTTCCTCGTGTTGTGGTGACCCCCAACCATAAAATTATTTTCGTTGCTACTTCATAACTGTAATTTTGCTACTGTTATGAATCGTAATGTAAATATCTGATATACAGGATGTATTTTCATTGTTACAAATTGAACATAATTAAAGCATAGTGATTAATCACAAAAACAATATGTAATTATATATATGTTTTCTGATGGTCTTAGGTGACCCCTGTGAAAGGGTCGTTCAACCCCCAAAGGGGTTGCGACCCACAGTTTGGCGACCCACAGGTTGAGAACCGCTGCTCTAGAGGATCTGACACAAGGGTTTGCTCACCCTAAATGGAATAGGAGTGCAGCAATTAAAGAAGTACCCTAATATGCTCATGATTTTATTAGGACACTGTCAGGAAACAAATTCATTCAATGTAGAGCCATTAAAAAAATATTCTGGAGAATTGCTAGAAGGTAAAGAGATTTAGCACAAACATTCATTGCCTGAACATCCAGGCCTTAGGAAGGCAGGAACCAGGTCAATTCAGGGGAAGTCACCTCTAGGAAGGTGCCTATTCTTGCTAGTTCTCTGCCACTGATGGGGCTTAACTCATCTACGTATGGTAGTTTCTTTCTGTTCTGCTCCCAAGTGAGTTGGTCTCCAAAGTCCCAGCAGCAGTATTTGATTGGCTCCCTGCCTATACTATTGATTGGTTGTTCCTGCTGCTTAGGTGCAAGCTGTTGTCTGGGGGGCAAGGTCTCCTGATATCCTGCTGGACTGCCTTGCTAGAAGTGTGAGCATGGCAGGCTAGCTAGGAGAGGAAGTGGACCATCGTAGATGTTCAGTATATATTGAGTTAGAGCTCCAAAAATAAACTCATAAAGAAAGCTGTTCTGTTTGCTGTAATGTTAGTGGAAGACTTCGTGGAAGAGTAGGCATTTACATCACAGCATAGAAGCTGGGTTGGATTCACATCTCAAGAGCAAATAGCTGAAGAAGGGGGAAGTCCTAGGTAGAGCAGCAGTTTGAGCCAAGTTGTACAGAGTTTTGCTTAACTCATGGACCTATCAGTCTGGCTTAGAGAGCCTCAGTGTAGTTGCCTTAAATTGCTTGAGCAGCCTGAGTCAATGACTGATTGAAACAGAATCCTTGGGGTTTGTGTTTAAATCATTTGCAGTATTTTAAAGTTTCCCAGATAATTTTGATGCAAAGGTGTTTGAGCCCTGGATAGCTAGAGAGAAAACTACATTATGAATTTGTGAAATAGGGTTGGAAAAGAATATTAGAACAAGGCTGTGGTGGCTTCTATATCAGGGGAAGGATTTCTGGACTGCATCCTGTAAGTAAGGTGGAGCCACCAAGTTTTTGATTATATTGGTTTCCACCTTTTTCTGAGCCCAGTATAGTTGCATCTATTTAAATTCCTTTCAGGGCAGTAGACAGAGCAGGGAAGGAAAGTTATGGGATCCAGGTGTGTGTGTGTCACAGTCCTTGGTACTTATTGAGGATGTTATTTATTCATTTTTTCCTCTGTAGGAGTAGGTATTCTAGCTCCAGATTTATTTTTCTAAGCAGAATATATCAAAGTTTTTGTAATAATTGTTTCTACTTTCTTTAGGGGAGTTGGTTGCATCTTTGTTGAAATGATCCAAGGAGTCGCTGCTTTTCCAGGAATGAAAGACATTCAGGATCAACTTGAACGCATATTTCTGGTAAGTTCTTCATGGAATGCTTTTGAGAAAAATTGGTTTTTAATTCACCCCTTAGTGGTAGTGGAAAATAATTTTAAACAAATTTATTGGTTGTCACATTTAATTCTAACATATTTTTTGACTTTTGAAAAAGTAAGAAATTAGTTAATAATTATGTTTTTACACTACTGCACCTTAATACTATGTCAAAATAGTAAGAAAGGACAGGCCATCAGAGGTAATATAGAATAGGGGGTAAAAATGAGAGCTCTGATGAGAAATTGTGAATAATTTATATAGATATCCCCCCCCCTTCTTAACTCCCTCCCATCTTCGCCCACTTAAATGTGGGCTTTGATCAGTAACTTTTTCCCATAAATTGGAGCATAGAAAAAGAGGGAGGGGAGGAAAGGATAGTAACTTTGAAATGGAGAAACCAGGGAAACATACCTCAGCCAGGTCTTGAAGGTTGTCGTCATCAAAGAGAAGTCATTTTGGTAGCATGTACCCTTGGTACAATGTGTTGAGAATGACACGACTTCTGTGATTTTTCAACAAAATCATGACCACAGTAATCATGAAAAACAGATCACGCACACCCAGACTGAGGGACATTCTACACAATACCTGACTAGTACTCTTCGAAATTGTCAAGGTCATCAAAAACAAGGACAGTCTGAGGAGCTCTCACGGCCCAGAGGAGGCTCCAAAGGCATGACAACTTAATGTGATGTGGTATCCCGGACGGAATACTGGGACAGAAAAGATCATTAGTGAAAAAACTAGTGAAATCCAAGGAGAGCATGCAGTTTAGTTAATACCAATGTGTATTTCTCAGTTATGACAAATGTTCCATCGTAATGTCAGATTTTAACCACAGGGCAAGCTGGCGAGGGGTCTACAGGAACTCTCTGTACTACTTTTTTGTAACTTTTATAAAACTGTTCTAAAATTGAAAATGTTTAGAAATTTAAAATATACAAAAAATAAACATGAAATGTGTCCTAGAGCCATATGATCTGGGTTTAATCACCTGCTCTCTTACCTTGGGCAAGGGACTTAGCTCTCTGAGCCTTCATTTTCCCCTGGGGGAAATGAAGGATAATGGTAGCACCTACCTCATAAGTTTGAGGAATAATTGACCTAATATGCAGAAAGTGCTTTTAGAACTCTGCCTGACACATAGTAAATACCCTGTTGATTTTCTGTCTGGAAGATCTACCCATTGATGTCAATGGGATGTTGAAGTCCCCGCCTGTGACTGTATTGTTGCCCAACTCTTCACTTTATGTCCATCAGTATTTGCTTTATATGCTTTCTGTGCTTGCTTTCTATATATTTGCTTTCTGTGCTTGCTTTCTATATATTTGCTTTCTGTGTTGGGTGTATAAATGTTTCAAAGGGTTATAGTCTCTTGTTGGATTGATTGCTTTATCATTATGTAGTGTCCTTCTTTAACTCTTACTATAGCCTTTGTTTTGAAATCAATTCTATCTGATACTAGAGGCCAGATACACGAAATTTGTACAAGGGGCTCGGCCCTCGCAGCCCCAGCTTCATCTGGAAGGTCGTCCGGACAGTTGTTCTGCTGTTCAGCCCAATTAGCATATTAGCTCTTTATTATATAGGCTAGAGGGCCGGTGCACAAATTCGTGCATGGGTGGGGCCTGGTTGATCCGCCCTGAAGGGGGCCCATCACTGGAGGGGCCGCAGGCAGTTGGCCAGCCAACTCCACCCCCGATCGGGGTGTTGGAGGCTGATTGGGGCCCGGATCAGGCTGGTTGACTGCTGCAGTGTGTTTCATAGCCACCAGTTGTTCTGGTCATTCTGGTCGTTCCGCCATTCTGTTCGCTGAGCTTTTATATATATTTTTTTTCTGTTTCCATTTTTATGAAATTATTTTTTTCTATCCCTTTACTTTCAGTCTATGTGTCTTTTGATCTGAAGTGGGTCCCTTCTAAACAGCAGATGCAGAATGAGGCAAAAATAGGCTGACAGTTGTTTGTATGGAAAACAGTACTATAATAAATAATAATATCAGAATGAACTCTGTTTCGCATACTCACAACTGTAGATCTACTTTTGCCCAATCCTATATATGATACTTGTTTTGTAGCCACTTCTTTTCAATTCTGCTTATTATTTATTATCCATAAATTCCCACACAGAACAATAAAATATTGTTTCATGATTATAATAATAATGCATCTTTATGATGGAAGACTCCCACAGTATCAAAAAGTATAAAACTTGAAAGAAAATCACCCTTTGTTCTATTACCCAGAGAAAATCGCATTTAGTATTTTGCTGTATATCCTCCATTTCTACACAGGTAAAGCAAATTGAATCATACCTTGTGTACTGTTTTGTAACTTTCTTTACTTAACAGTATATAATCAGCATCTTTCACTGAAAAATAAATCTAGAAACTTATCATTGTTAATGACAGGAGAGTGTTTATTGTATGGATGAGATACATTTGCATAGTTTGTTTACAGTGATTAACTATTATGAAGTGCTGCCAGGAACATCCTTTGTACAGTTATCCTATTACTTAAAAATCATTAGAATTAAAAGTCCTTAATTCAATAAAATTTAATTTTCATATTCTTATACAGCCATACTTTTATCTAAACTAATGGAACACTTTTTTCTCCCTGTTCCCAAGAAAATCTCTTGCTGATTTCATTGAGATTGTATTGAGCCTATGGATTATATTAGGAAGAAATGATATAAAATTGAGTTTTCCCAATCAAGAATAAATTATATTATTTTATTCATAGTTTATGGCCCTTAGCAAAAACGTACAATTTTATAAACATTTTTTCTACTCCATTCTTTACTTTCATTCAATTATTCTAAATAACTTTTCTGTTATTTTCTAAAAAATATAATAAACTTGTTCATATATTGTATCATTGAAAAACAATAGCAGAAGAGAGAATTTTAATGGGCTACAGTTTGCAAAACTGTAGTTATAGATTATTATGCAAAAACTGCTTTAAATATTTAGCTTTTTAAAATGCCTGGCCAGAGTGGCACAGTGGTTGAGTGTCGACCCATGAACCAGGAGGTCACAGTTCGATTCCTAGTCAGGGCACATGCCTGGGTTGTGGGTTCAATCCTCAGGAGACAATGATCAATGATTCTCTTTCACTGATGTTTCTATCTCTCCCTCTCCTTTCTTCTCTCTGAAATTAATAAAAATATATATATTTTTAAAAATTATTTTATTTTTTCCCATCACCATTTATCCCCCCTGTACCCTATCCCTCCTCCATCCCTCTCCCCCCACAATCACCACACTGTTGTCCCTGTCCATGACTTCTTTCTTTTTTTTCCCATTGTTCCTCAATCCCTCCACATCCCCTGCTTCACCCCCACCTCTAAGAACTGTCAGCCTGCTCTCTATTAGTCTACCTCTATTTTGCTTGTTAGTTCAGTTTGTTCATTAGACTCCATATATGAGAAAAAACAGATGGTATTTGTCTTTCTCTGACTGGCTTATTTCACTTAGCATAATGTTCTCCAGGTCTATCCAGATTGTCGCAGAGGGTAAAATTCCCTTCTTTTTTATGGCAGAGTAGCAGCATTCTATCATGTAAATGTACCTTAGCTGTTTTATCCACTCATCTACTGAGGGACACATCAAAGAAATTATCTTCACTTATATATTATTTCAGAGTGAATTCAAAAGAAAAGGAAATGGTTATACTAGAAATGAGGTATATTCTATAGCAATAGAACAAAAAAAATTAGTTTCATGAAATCATAGTTCATTGATATAGCTTAAAGTTTTCATTATAAGTATCTTTTTATAATGTAAGTAATTTCCAATAGGTACTATCCTGTTGGATTGCTTCCTGTATGAAGATTTTGCTAGTATTTCTTAATTACGGCAATACTTTCCTAATTTTATGGGTATTCAGAGACCTTTGAGCTATGACTAGGCTTTTAATAAATCAAAGAGATAAATCATTATAAATTTCCCATGGCAATATTGATATCCTAAACTACTGTTTGCTCTTGTTAGAGCATAGAGACCCTTAAATACAGATCAGCATCATGATTGATGGTAATAACTATCTTTTACTGTAATTATTATACATGCATAGTGCTTTTTACAAGTAAAATGTCCGTTGGTAATTAGGAAATAAATATCATCTAAAATTGATGCTTTAGAATTAAAATGTTATATTTTACTCTAAAGAATTAGACATGATCAAAAAAACTTCTTTTGACAGTAAATGTTATCATCTTAAATATTTTATGTCCCCCACTGAATTGTTTAAATTTGCAAACGCTAGCTATATGTCATGCTCTACAAGCAGACTCTCCCAGGAGTTGTGCAATCATCGGAAGAAGACAATCTACTAACCCAGTGTGGTTGAATCACTGGGAAAAAATGCTTTTCCTCGGTGACCTTTTATGTCTGGTCTGAAGAGGAATGGCTATTAAAGTGTAATTAAATCCACTTGCACAAGCTTCTCCCAGAAACTGCCAGACACCGTTTTTTAAGCAGCAGTTGTGTCTCCAGGCTCTGGTAAAGTATTGCCAAGGAGATAGTCAATTTTGCAAAGTTGTGAAACATGGGATTATTTGTTTTGTTTTGTATTTTAATACAGGGATTAAGTCCGTTTATTCTCTTGTGAACTGTGTATAGAAAGGTGGTTAGTAACTTTGAAGCGCAAAATTAATAGCTTGTTGCCAAGATAACTAATATCATTAACCCACACACACAGTCTTTATTCAAATGTGAAAAGCAATAAGATCAGTCAGGAAAGCCTTTATATATTTTTTATGGTTTTCTCTTCCTTTTTATTTCCTTTTTCTCTTCTTTGGTGGAAGGGAGTAGTTCACATTTTTAACAAGTCCAATGAATTTATTTCTATAGCATAATAACTCTATTGATATCTGTAAGGTGAGCTGGCTATGGTATAATTTGAGATTTTTACCATTAAATCATTTTCCTTGAAATTGTGATGCTCATATGCAAGAAAGAAGGAAAGTAATAGAATTTT